TATAAAAAACTTGTCACCCAAACGATTCCAAAGTACAGAAATCCAGATACAAAGTTATATTTAGAATTGAACTGTTGCACGAAAATCCAAAGTTCTTCATGATGCATCATTAATTCGTTTAGTTTCTCTCGTAAATCAGAATCGATTCTTTTTATTAAAAGCAGCTCCCTCGACAATTGCTTAAATTCCTTATGAGAGATCAGCACTAACAATGCCGCTAACAATAAGCTGTAACCGATTCCACCAATAAAAAAACTTATATTTAAGGAGCCGAATGTGGTACAGAAGAGAGCTTCTCCATAAAATTTTTGCTTCATTTCTATGTAAGGGTAGAAAAATACAGTGGCCGCAATTTGTTGCAAATCAATGGCTACTATTATAGCAAAGGAAATAATCAGAGTAACATATTGTAATAAGATGTTATTTTCGTTAATCATTTTTACTCGAAAGAATTTATTCCTTAATGGCTTATTCAAATTGAATTTGTTGCGTTTGATAAATTCGAATGCAATACAATAAATGATAAATACAACACAAATTACTATTTTAAATAACATGGAATTTTTTTCGAATATGTCATACCAACCAATGCATATCGCATATTCATTGATTACTGGGATTACTTGCCATATGAAAAGAATTGTATATCCGCGTAATGTCAGTTCGATAAATCGAATATAGATGTTTTTTAATTTGATATTTTGAAATTCTCTCCCTTTCTTTGAGCATTTACAGTTACAAGTTTCAAATGCGTCCACCCCAAATATAAGAGCAGTCGTCCAACATGGGCTGATGAAACAGCTCAGGCATACCTCTTGTATATTCGAACTCATGCTTAGTCTGTATTGTGTCTAGGCTTTACAGAACGAAATGAAACTGTTCATAGAAATTCTGGTTATGTAAACTCATTGTCTCTGAAAATTTTATAGTGTCATTAATAATAACAATAATGGTGTATTTGAAATTAATCTTTAATGGGATAGTGAATGAAATAAATTGATTGGCTCATGGCTATCAATTTCCTTTATAAAGTTAACAATACATCAGCAAACCATTGCAAATATAATTATTTATAACAACAGAAAATCATATCTTAAGTGGCTTTTTGTACTTCTACATCAGGATAAGTAATTAGTTTTACATTCCTAAATGTTTTATATTAGTATTTCTAAAGAATCTTTCATTTTAATAATATTCTAATGCATTGGTTGGTATATTCTAGCTGCATATTTTGTCCTTGACGGTTTTAAATTCCTTACCAATAGATGATTTGATAGACGAGTAAACCCATTACGAGCAATATGCTCATGTTTTTGGAAATTATATGAACTTCAATAAAACGATAAAATATTTGAAATATTATTGTATATATTATATAATCTTAAACAAATAAGCTATCATGTTTCCCATTAACCTTTCTTTATAAAAACTCTTTTTTAAAAAGTTAACTTATTTTACACTGATTGTAAATACAATAAGAAATGTTCCAGAAAGTGCAACTAACACAGGTATCAGCATAAAAGACGGTTAAAATTGCACATTAGAGTCTGAATATGTAAAGTTACATAAGCTGTTCCAATGCTTTCAAATAGGAAAAGTTCTAAATAGGCAGAATGTAAGGAATGTGTAAACAATGTCAAATCTCAACTTCATGACAAAAGTAAAAAGGAATATTATTCTGTAGTAAGAAACCAAATGAAAACAAAAAAGATAAAATTAAAATAAAAACGAGTCTTGTGTTTGTTCAGTTTGGTACAAAAAAAATGAACAAAAAAAAATTGAAGCAAGAATGATGTTAAAAATAATGAAATAAATTGTAGTCGTTATTACAGCAGTAAAAAACTACGTAGATAAATAAAAAATCACAAACAGGTTATCCAAATATTTACTTTTTGATAATTACGAAGTAAGAAACATCCAAGATCGAGTAGTTCTAATAGAAAAAGTTGTGTTGTTTTTTAATACTGTTTTTAAAAAAGTGTTCTATTGCATAAACCAACAAAGACAGTCGAATAATTTACCAGAAAAGAATACTTGAACGACAGTTATAAGAAAAAACGGTTTACTTTAAATGTAACATGACGTAAACACAGTCAATTTGTCAGCCACGAACCTACGGACCCGTGTACGTGAGCCTCAAATTCGTGGCTGACTGCGGAATAGCGATGAAATCAATCTACATACTGCCACAGAACAGCTTCATTTCTCGTATATTTTTTCTATCATGCTTCATGTACCCATTTAACAGACTTTGAGAAAGGTTAGATTGTAGATTTGAGAAACATTTGTTTAGATTACCAGGTAGTAGCAAACTGCATCATAGGTTTGAACAAGATCGTTAAGCATTATTTGTCAAATTCTGCAAATTACGGACAAAAACATTGAAGTTGACGTGTTTCAAAGCTTACACTGCTAGACCGCAGAGGAACTGATAATGCAGCCTTTTATTTACTGCTTTCACGCTTCAAATTCATAACGATATAAGTATCAAAGTACATTACGAAACCGTTCGAATGGTTTTACACAACAACAGCAACAATATTGTTCGGTTTTGAATGAGAAGTGCCCCTTTTTTAAAGCCGAGCACAAATTTGCCCGACTTCATTTTGTGACGAAAAATATGGCCACTCAATAGAATAAGGTAAATTATTGTTTCGTTAATAGGAAAAATCGGTTAAAAAATTCCGGATTTGACAAATATAACCGAGGCAAACCACTCCTAGAATTTTTCGACAGTTCGTATTTTATTCCTGATTCTCTCATTCATAGAAAGAATATACTATGTTAACACTTACGATCATCCAGCCAGCCATTGTTAAAGTAGTTTACTCATGCAATATACGTTCTCCAAATAGTCTAAAATGATATCCGAATCTTACAGAAGTGTGCCTTTTTAATAAATGTACAGCAATGTCTGCAACATTTATATCACAGATAAATTACTGAATTTTGTAACAATAAAAATGTTCAGTAACTCTGTACAATAGGGACTCGTCAGTCCGGATTAGCGAACATCTAATGTAATATTTAAGTTATGATCTCCAAAAAATTTTTATCAGTTACTTACTTTAAATTTCATTAAATTTCTATCAATTACTTACTTTGAGGCTTGCAGTTATTTGCTTCTCTTTAAACTTTTGAGAACGTTTTCTTTGATCTTTCGAATTACTCTCGATAATTTCTTCAGTAGTTTAAATTACTTGTTTATCCTACACAAAATAATAAGAAAATTAATTTTTAATATTATGTAATTAATAATATATAGATAAAAAAATTTCAGTTTTCAATTTCTTGCTCCTTAAAATGTCTTCTTCCGTTCTTTCACTGTTTTTGTTATTATTTTTTATCGACATATTTAAAAGTTATCAACAATACGATGTGACCATAAAATTAAACTAAACAAGGAAATACGTTACCTCATTGTTATGATGGTTTTGTAAATTTAAATCAGTAAAATGTAAAAATCTTGATAAACATTCTATTCGTCATTTAAACCGCATCAATTCAGTGCTATAGCGGAGTACCAAAATAAGGTGTTCTGTTACGAATTTACTATACGAAGGTTAGGAATTACACATAAATGAAACATGAGCAAACTACCAGTAAATCACAAAAGTAAAACGCTAAACTATCTGGCATATCGAAATTAACTTTATCTTTGTCCTAAAAGATAACCTATACGACAAAAATGTTGTTACTTCTTGTGCTAGCACGATAGTTCTTAATGTTCCTTATTTTTTTAAATCTTCAATTAAATTTTCCTTTAAACCTAAAATGAAACTTAGCTTAACAGAGGGGGGAAAAGTCTACTTTCTTCATTCTTTTCAAAGTAAACATCTGTCCACTTCGAAAATAATCCCACATTCCAACTTTAAAGTTAATGTTTAGCATGGTCCTGGAGACAACTTTGATTTACCCGCGTACCTGTTACCTGACAACAATTAATCACATGACAATTTTTCTATGTCGAAGCTATAAAAGTTACTTCCATCTCCCCCTCAGAAGAAAGTCACTCATCAACCGTCGAAGCGCCAAGTAACCTATGATTCTCTTATAAATTTGTGCCGTTATTCTACCTTTGTGGACTTTTTGGATTACATTATTTTCCGCCAAGGATATCTAAATTTATAAAAAAAATATGGAACTAACTTTTGTGAACTCTCTCTCGGCCTCTTAGCTGCTTAGGGACTCAGTAAATTCCCCCGAATTTAATTATTGTATCGCTCGGATAAAAAATTAATAAATTGTTGTTTCTTTGTTAAATTTGTTTTTCTCGTTTACTCGTATATCGTCTATCACCTTACCGACGGCACTCCTTTTTTCTCCACTCGACCCGACGATCAAACCCCGTCACAGCAGGATAAATATAAGAAACATTTAAGCCATCTTGACCGTGAGCAGGTTTAACGACATGTCGTTAAAAACGGAAACATACAATTTCCCCGGCGGTTCACATATTAGTCTCTCTGATCCCTCACTAGCTACTCACCTTGTTATGAGAATGGCCAAAGTCACGATAAGTCCGAAAAAAAGAACATCTTAGTACCCATAGAAAGGAAATAGTAAAATTAAAAATTACTTGTAGTGTTGTAATTGAGGATCATGCACATCTCTAATGAGTAAGGATTGAAGCTTTAATGGTTTTCAGTGGTTTGCTGATGTTTCATATAAGCAGAAAAATTACATAAAAAAATAAAACAAAAGTGCATTTATTTTCTAATTTACTTTATATTTTAATTATAATTAATAAAAAATTTACAAAATATAATGCAACTAAACATTTATTTAGGAGAAAGTAGTTGAAGAAGAAACTACGTTTCAAACACCCAAAGCAATTATTCAATTAAACAAGATGCTGAACTTCCTGAAAGTGAGAAACACAAAAAGACGAATGGAATAAAGAAACGAGAATATTATGCTACAATTGTTTTAGGTAAATGGAATAATTAAGTAATAAATATATCTTTATAAATCAATTAAATTCATTAACGCCAGGATATCAGGAATCGCTTCTTCCTCAAGATCTGAAACAGCAAATCGAATCTGATAAAATGTTCGAAGTTATGAAAGCTGTAAATAAAATTATGTTCAAGATTGGTATGTTTAATAACAAAGAATGCATTGTAAATGATATCTGCAGCCTTAATTAATAATTTTGTCATGGTTTCATTTCAGTTTCCTACTTAACAGTTTTGGCATTCTTCATCGTAATTCCATTCTTGATGGTTTCATTCGGTATGTAAATTAATTGTAAGAGATTATAGAATTGTTTACACTGATTTCTGCGGTTGTTTCAGGTGTAACGTACTTAACAGAATGTCCAGCTCAGTATAACGTGCCAATATTTTTGATAATTGGGGATTTGGGAATTTTCATCGAGACCATATTTTGATAATTGGGGATTTGGGAATTTTCATCGAGACCATATAAGCATATTTTCATTTCTATAGAAGCGTGCAGCGGGTGTATAAGTAAAATATTTAATATTATAATTAAATTATAAGATATAGTCAGTAGAAATGCCATTATTTTTTCAAGCTGTCAGAAAAGTGCAGTCCTATCTACGAACTGCCTCAAGTCTTTACATTACTTTGACAGATTTGAACGAGAAATTTCGATAATATTTTTTTAATTATTTTCTTGTTATTTTCTCCAAAGAGTTATTATAAAATTTATTTCTAGATTTATAAGATTATGACAAATTAAATATTAAATTTTATAGATTTTTTTATAGAGTTGATTCTTATGAGTAGCATTTTTCATTTTTCATTTTTAAAATATTAATTTAGTAATAATCACTAAAAGTATTCTATTATTGTAAAAGTACTTCTAAAGCTTTATTTATAAACTTTATTAGTTTAAATATTTTTTTTATATAAAAATCATTATTTAATGAATGATTTAACCAGTTGAATTTTCATCGAGACCATACTTTGCCACTATTCGATCTGTAGAAAATTTTAAAAAACGGAAGACATATTTAAAGGTTTCTCTTATAACACTACTCATATTTCTGTTGTCTTGGTTTATTTTAGGTAAAATTATTAAATACAGTACTTCATTTTTCTTTTACCGTTTCTAAATCAATAATTATTTCAGGTTGCGTGTGGGTGTACAAAATGTATCCACCTGTTTATGACGATAAATACGATAAGCAATATTGCAACAAGAAACTCTACCTATTTACATTTTGGATGATTAATTCGGTGTTTATTTCGGCGATTGTTTACATCGGTTTAGTTTGTTTTGTCACTGCTAATTTGTTTCTAATCACTTTAAAATATGTTTAAAATTTATAATAATCTTTAATTAAATTATTACTATTATCTGAAAAATTTTGGTTTGCTCTTCGTATATTATAACAATAGAATAGATGACGATAATCCCTAACGATAAGGAATTTGATGTAATTTTTTTTTTAATTTCAATTCGGTAATGCATTATATAAATTTGAATATGAAAATTTGGAGTAGATCTTTTAAAAGTTATTTTAAAAAATTTCTATTAGGATTTTTTAATAGAAATATTGAGATTAAATAAGTTTGAGTAACAGCCTTTACTATCATGCAAATAGGAGTTGTGACGATAATTTCGACACCATCGGTGCAGATCTTGAATAAGAACGAAAGAAAAGAGATAGGAAAAAACGCTTTGCCTAAATTTGAACGAGGTTAGAAAAAAACTAGGTCAGTGAATTATGCAGAAGCGTAGAAGGAACGAAAACGGATGTTCCATTCTCCAGTTCAGGGCGCTTGAGGACCCACGGCTGCCCCCGGTGTATAATCCCCCACCCTGGGGTGGAGACCCTTTGTGCCGACCGTCCCCACGGGTCTGGGGAAAAAAGCAGGACAGATGTCCCGAATTCATTGTATTTCTCCCCTCTTCCAACGGTTGCATGGGGGCCACCTTTTCTTTTCGTCGAGTGTTGTTCAGACAGGAAGGAAAAGTAGGTTTCCTGTGGGTCAAATAAGTGACGTTGCTTTATTATTGATGTAATCTCAATCAGTTCTAGATACAAATGGTAAAAATATTAATATTTTTAGGAAGTGGTCGCATACCTATCTACTTGCAAAATATTTATGTAAATATTTTGCATACTTTAACAAAATTGTCAATGACTCATCATTTACAGATAGCGCGTATTATTTTAAGAAAAAAATATAGAAAAATTATTTTTAAAAAAATCGCAATTTAAAATAAAAATATGAATTTATAGTCATATTCAAATNTAGGTCGTATTTTACTAAATGACTGGCCACGTGCAGTTTTTCTGCTTTTTTTACACTAATACCTAAACAGAAGCTACTTACCATAACACTTCTTTTGGGAGACATCCTACTGAACAGATCGCCTACGTGTCGTGTTACCGTAACCAAAATCAAAATTATTGTAATAATTTATGTATAAACTCGATATATTTTACTTACATTTCTTGAAATTTATGATCAATAACTCCGGATATATATTTCGGAAAAAGCTCGGTATAACAACTAGTAAAGCAGTAAATCTAAAAGCATCTGTATGTATTAAAAACATGTTTCCATATGTTTTTAATACATATGGAAACGTGATCAAATTGGAAGTAAACTATTAACAGGTAATAATTATTGAACAAAGTCTTTATCATCAGTAATTTAAGTATATAAAGACAGGTTGAGTAATTTTATTCTATCAAATCAAATTTACTAAACGTAATGTCGTTCCTGGAGAGTGTATTTAGTAGAATCTTGGAGTTTACTTTAAAAAACCAATGTTGTTTTAAATGATTTTCCAATTAAATGTTACAAAATTGCATGCTTTCATATTTTTATTTTCCTAGCTCTTTTATGTAAAACAGAGGGAAAGCATGGTGATCTGCCAAAAGATGACTCACCCAAATTTTTACATTTCGGAGCTGAGGACAACTGAAAACCTCGAGAAATTAAAAAAAAATTGGTTCTTTTTCTGTACGTATGGATGTTAGTGCGTGTGGTGGATACGATTTTGTTTACCCTGTTTGAAGCTAAATAATTTCTGCGCTTTCCGTCGAAGATTTTTAAAATTTATGAAGTTTCTGTATTAGGTGAATTGGTGCTATTAAATTTTGCGTATTAAATACCAATAGGTTAGAGAGATAGACAGAGTCACGTGTATTATTGAGTGGAATTAGACTTTGTGTGGTCCCAGTCAGAGTTTCCAATCCCTCATTAAACGTACAAAAAATTCTATTCTTTTAATAGAATATTTCGCTATGAAAAACGTACGAAATAGATCTGTCGCAAAAGTTCGAAATAAGCAATACGGTCGACCTCATGAGGTCACTAGTTTTTGCGAACTAACGAGTTGGAATGTTTAGAACAGGGGTGTTCAAACATTTTGTTTCTCTGGGCCACATTGAAAGAAGTCATGGAGTTTTGGGCCACAAGCGTAATATATATACTTGTGGCCCAAGTATATTTTGGCCCAGTCCTTAAATCTACAAGTATATTTAAAAATTAATATGTCTTTAAACTTTATTAAACTTTAATTTTTTTTACAAGTGCTTTCTACTTATAGATAGTGAGATTTTAATGTTTAAGCTCTCATAAACATTCAAAGTCGTTTGACTTGATTTTATTCTTATCCGTCATGGTTAAATGTGTCCTTGACATAGATCGAAGTTATTTAGTGNGGAGTTTTGGGCCACAAGCGTAATATATATACTTGTGGCCCAAGTATATTTTGGCCCAGTCCTTAAATCTACAAGTATATTTAAAAATTAATATGTCTTTAAACTTTATTAAACTTTATTTCGAATAAAAATGTTTTTAAAAATTACTTTTACAGACACTTTCAATTTTTACTTAAAAATAAATAAATTCGCTCATTATAAAGCAGACAAATAAAAATTTATTTAAAAAACACAAATATTTGTTTTATTTGGGTCTCTAATTAATAAAAAACGACGAAACATCAATTTAAAGTGCATTTTATAGCCAAATTTGGCGCAAAGTAGCCAAATCTTGCAACGCTGAAAGGAGTACTAAATAAAGCTGGAATTCGGACTCAAAAGACCGAAAGCAAGGAAAGGAGAGAAAAAATACAAGAAAAATAAGTGAAGAAAGTTGAAAAATTAATAATCAATATTTGCATAACAAAAGGTATATTTAACCTTTCTCACTACTTTTTATCTTTTAGCCTTTCTCTCCTTTCCCCAAATTTCAGTCTATAATCCTTTGATTCACAACTTCAGCTTTATTTAATATACCTTCCTCATTCACACATTTCCAAGTATTTGAAAATATTTTCTTTTCACCCAAAATTAAAATATATATAAAGGTTTACGGCTTTGTGAAACGTCTTTTTGAATTTGTGCCATTGAAATGAATAAATAAAATAAAAGAATCTGTTAGTTTTGTTTACACGTTTGTTGGGCCGCATTGGAACTTGTCTTCGGCCGCGTGTTGGAAACCCCTGGTTTAGAATGTCAATCGAAAAGTTCGAGCTTTGACTCCGACACTCGTAGACATGAAAAAATTTAGAAACAGACGAGAAAATGTAGCATTCTTTTATATGAAAAACCTATCGAAAGGTAGAGAAAGAAATTCGGTATCAATGAAATTCGGAAATGTGTAAAGAAATTCTTTAAATTCTCGGTTCTCTCTATCGGCAAATCTCACAACTTAAAGACGATTTTACTCGTTATTAACGTTTACAACATTTTATAAATACAATTTTGCCCTCAAAATTAAGTGTTAGTCATCTTATAATAATTAAAAACGTAAGAGGTTTTTAAAGTAAAATATCGTAAAAGTGGCGCTACTAAAATTTTAAATGCTGCCGGGAAAGTTAATCAACTCGTTGCTAATAGATTTTTTTTATAATTGGCAAAAAAAGAAACTTCACTTCGTTTCAAAAAATTAGCAACACCAATAAAATAGATTAATTCTGTATTTAAAAATTTGAAATTACTAACTAATAAATTTTCCATTAAAGTCTGTCACATTAAAAATTGTTGGCAGTTCTTATATATCTGTCTCATAATATTTTCCCACAAATTCCCCATCAGATTTATGTCCAAACTTAATGCAAGCAAGTCCAAAATACTCTGGACGATTGAGAGACGTTAACTGAAGCATTATCCTGTTGAAATATACAATACCTATTACAAATTTTGGTGACATATGGCAATAAATGAATTTGAACCATGTTCTGATAGTCAACAGAGTTCACTCTGCGATCTAATTCTACAAAAGAGCTCTTACCCTTAAATTCAATGTCACCCCAAATCATTAATGATCTTACATCTGGAATCCTTTTTCAGCAGTAGTTTTCTTTTGTAGATCGTGCCAGCAAAATTTAAGCTCACCTGGTCCGTCTGAATCAACCTTTTGTCATTGA